TACAGGAAACATAAAGGTCAATAGGGCAGAATAAGTTATTAATCTGAAAACTATAATTAGGCTATTTCAATCAAGACATATGCTAGTTTGAAAACTAGCATATTTTAAATTTATTTTCTTAACAATATGTATTAAAACTTTCACTATGTCCTAACATAAGACGGATAATCTCTGAAAAAATAATCAATCTCTTCTGCCTCCTGTGTTCTGCAGAACTACTCAGCTCCGTCAGAACCAACCAATCAGAACCAGAACAAAACAGCCATGTTCTCAGAAAGTTTTGATTGAGTAACTTAGGATTGTTTATTTTGATGCAACCTGTGTTTAACATCGAGTGAATGTTTCCTTTTTTACTTGACATTATTTGATATAAGCAGTGTTATGAGATTTATTTATGTATAAATTAGGCTGGTGAGAGTCTTGCTGTTAAATATTGTTTTACTGACTGCAGGTTTTTCAGTTGTCCTGTTGACTGAGTAGCTGCTGTGTTGTGCCTGGAAGTATTTTGCATGTTTTATGTCTAAATTATGTGAATTTATTGCCAGATCATTTTTCCATTATGGAAGATCACATAGTAGCATTTATACCCAAGTTGAAAAATTAACCACCAGTCTAGGTGATCGGCAGAGATCGGCCTCATGGGTGATCGGTATTGGAATCGGCAGCAGAAAACCTGATCGCCGCATCTCAGGTCATATGTTCAGTTTGAGTGTAGGATTTTATATCTTTGCACTCAAAATATTTCAAATATTCTCTGTTCTCCTTTAGATCGCATGCATTACAAGTTTTGAGAGCAATGAGTTGAAATCCTGTTTTTAAATAGAAAACTTAAGCTCTTGACTTGTGGCAGTAAAATTCTCTGTCAAGAATTAACATTTTCAATTTGAGAGCAGGATTTAATATATTTGCTCTCTTTCAAATATTCTCTGTTCTCAGTTTTTGCATTCAGTTTGAGTCCATGGATTGCAAGTTTTCAGAGATGAAATCCTGCTCTCCCATGGAAAATGTAAGCTCTTGACTTGTGGCAGTAACCATCTTCCGACCGTTCCCTCCTCCAGATTGCCCTCCTGTGTTTGCACAGGGGTCGGTTTCAACGACAAGTCGGAGCTGGACTCTGGTCTCCTCAACAGGAAGTGGATGGCGTCCATCCCTGATGCGACTCTGGTCTCCGCCATCGCGGTTCCTGGAACCCATGAGAGCCTGACGCTGAGCGGAGGGCCGCTCGCTGTGACTCAGGTATGGACTCTGGAAAAGCAGCTGAACGTCGGGATCCGCTATCTGGACATCCACGCTGGGATCTGGTTTCCCACCAACAAGGAGGTCGGCATCCGAGACGCCAACTGGCACTTTTCCCAGGGCGTCACCTTTACCGCGGTGGTAAAGAAGGTTCTGGCGTTCCTGGACGAGAACGGGGGCGAGGCGGTGCTGATGAAGGTGACGCTACACGGCCTATACCAAGACCAAGCGGCGGGGATGGTGGAGCAGCAGCTGCAGAGGTTTGAGGGCAGAATCTGGAGGAAGGTCTCGGTACCAGAACTGGGCCAGGTCCGAGGGAAGATCGTCTTTCTGCAGAACAGGAAATTCCCCTTAGGAACGGAGAACCACCGTTCCTACCTCTTTGAGTCCAACCAGCTGAAAGACGTAGAGAAGAAACTCAGACACATCCGGTGGCATCTCTGCGGCCATTACATCCTGCTGACCCAAAACGCCGCCGCCGCGCTGCACAGGCCCAAGGCGCTGGCCCGCTACGTCAACCGCCAGCTCAGCGACCTGGTCCGCCGCCGCAGGGGCGCCGCCGGCGCCGGCTGCCTGGGCGTCATCAGCATGGACTTCCCCAGCGCCGAGCTGATCCGCAACATCATCCAGCTGGGAACCTGCAGCTGCGGGCCGACCGCGGGCCGGCCGGAGGGTCCAGAGGGACCGGGACCAGAAGAACCAAGAGAACCAGAAGAACCAACAGAGCCTGGAGAACCAGAACCAGGAGAACCAACAGAACCTGGAGAACCAACAGAACCAGGAGAACCAACAGAGCCTGGAGAACCAACAGAACCAGGAGAACCAGAACCAACAGAACCTGGAGAACCAGAACCAACAGAACCTGGAGAACCAACAGAACCAGAACCTACAGAACCAGGAGAACCAACAGAACCAGGAGAACCAGAACCAGGAGAACCAACAGAACCTGGAGAACCAACAGAACCAGGAGAACCAACAGAGCCTGGAGAACCAACAGAACCAGGAGAACCAGAACCAACAGAACCTGGAGAACCAACAGAACCAGGAGAACCAGAACCAACAGAACCT